GGTCTTTCTAACAAATGTTGTCTACTTTTGTTGTTGAAGTTTTATTTGTGAGGTATATTTTTGATTAATTGATGTCAAACTTGTGACTTTTGTTTTCAATGAGCCTGGGATGGTGGTTGTTTGTACGAGCTTTGCTCTTGATATGCCCTAATTTTCATCCTATGCTGATCTTTTATGCTGAATTATTTGAATTTTATTTTGATGGTAATGGAGTGATGATCATGTGGTATTTCATGTTTGAGTTTTTAAATCTTGTTTGTCTGCTGGATCGTGAGAAACTGCAATAATGATAAATAAAGATTTATTTGGGGTATTCTCAAGTTGCTTTTTAAAGAGTAATAAATTATATTCGAGTTAACTGATCAAATGGCTTGATCTAATTTGTTTTCAAGTGGTATTAAATGTGTTACGTGAATGATAAACTGTGTCTTGTTGAACTTTAGTCTTCACATGCTTCTTGTTGGTTATCTATAGAACATATGTCGTTGGGATCATTGGTTTTGTACCTCTTTCGAAATCGTACAGTTTAACTGTGTGATGTTAGATTTTGCCAAATGCTTGTGATGCCTACAGACTCCTGTAGTTATTTGTCGTTTTATATCCCCTGAAGCATTAATGAGTTCACTTTTGCTAAAATCCTTTGACCTAATCTTGATGTTAAATTCAGTTTTAGCCGTGCGGTATGTGACTTTTTTGGTTTATTTAATACTTTAAGAATAACTTTTCATGCTTTTTAGTTCTATTGTTTTACAAAAAAGGTCATGGCATGCAATAGAATATTGCGATTGCCCACAAAAGGTTAGATCGTGAATATTGATTGACGAACCAAATTTCGTGTAATAGGTCTTCTGAAGTACCGTCAACAAAATCATCTGAAGAAATGGAAACTAGGATACAGGATGTCTTTCCCAGATTTGGCAGTTATCGTACCTCCAGTGATGCTTCTCTTTTCTCAAGCTCATTGCCCGTTCTTCCCCATGAGATGTGTATGCACTATGCATAATTCAAATTTAATGCACCTGATTTGCATAGGAGGAAATACTTATTTTGTTTCTCTTTATTGAATTGGGTTGCATACAGTGAACCGGAGTGACCCAGAACATGTTCCTTCGATCGAGGGCGCCTCATCCGGCTTGAACAAACTTCATCCTGAAGTTGAGTACATTGACTTGCTTAAGGACATTGAAAATTATGCAATTGGAAGCTTGCTCCCTGACGATGAGGATGAACTTCTAGCTGGGATAATGGACACCTTTGACCTTGGTGGGTTGCCTAATCACATGGACAACTCCGAAGAATATGAGTTTTTTGGCAGTGGAGGAGGTTTGGAATTGGAATCCGATCCACAGGAAAGCCTGGGTGTGGGTTTCTCAAAAGCAAGTCTATCTGATGGTGTTGTTGGCAATGGAGTGGTTCATTACGGTCTTCCAAACGGCATGGGAACTGTTGCTGGAGAACATCCTCTTGGAGAACATCCTTCCCGGACATTATTTGTCCGAAACATCAACAGTAATATTGAGGATTCAGAGCTTAGATCTCTCTTTGAGGTAATTCGAACTAGTCAGCCCTTGTTATAATTTCTTGTTGGTTTCCCTAGTATCTTTGGTCTAGAGTGTGCTGTATTTGAACTCTCATTGAGGATTCAACACAGTTAAACCAGTTATGTAGCTATGAAATTTGTTTTAAGGATAGCGTTTTTCTTAGGGGTGAACACCGGTTCAAAACAGACACAACGGGAATTCTACATACAGAAACAGTTCCATGTGCTGTGATGGAAGGGTGTAAATTTTCTGTTCTAGGCTTCGAACTGTTAATCAGATTTAGGAATATTCTTCCTTTTTTCTCCTTAAATTTGACAGAGTTACTAACATACTCTCGTTGTGCAAATTTATGTTTTCGTTCTTGTCAGCAACATGGTGATATCCGAACTTTGTACACAGCATGTAAACATAGGGGGTTTGTGATGATATCTTATTATGATATTCGAGCTGCTCAAACTGCTATGCGAGCATTGCAGAATAAGCCACTCAGAAGGAGAAAACTGGACATTCACTTCTCAATTCCTAAGGTTCTGTGTTATCCTCTTCGAAGTTTCTTACTGTTGTTATAATTGTCATTTTCTGAACCATTTTCCCTCTTCTTTCAGGAAACCCCATCAGACAAGGATATTAATCAAGGAACTCTTGTAGTGTTCAATTTGGATCCATCAGTTTCTACTGACGACCTCCGCCAAATTTTTGGTGCTTATGGCGAGGTCAAAGAGGTAATTTATTTTATTTTCTTTACTATTTTTTCTCATCTTTATTTTTCAAACATATATCTGATAATTGGTTGACATCCTGTTGTATACGGATCAATTGTCTTGAAGCAGATAAGGGAAACACCGCACAAGAGGCATCATAAGTTTATTGAGTTTTACGACGTAAGATGTGCCGAAGCAGCACTTAGATCCTTAAATAGAAGTGAAATAGCTGGGAAACGAATAAAGCTAGAGCCTAGCCGCCCAGGGGGTGCACGGAGAAGGTACACCTGCTAATGCATTTACTGATTTGCTTCGATTGTTCACTATTTTCGAGAATTAATTTAATCAAGGTGTATATGCCATGCACTTACTGTTTAAAATACCAAATTCAAAGACAAATCAAGAAAGTTGAAGGGCTATGAAGGGAAAATGACATTAATAATATTGGTGGATAGACCATTATTACCAACTGAAAAGTGTTAGAGACAAACAAACTCCATTATAAGCTTGCTGTGTAAAGAATTTATCTTAATCGAATTCCATGTTAGGTTATGATGTCATTTTAACTTGATGATGCAAATCGGCAACATTTAAATGCTTAAATATTTTTTTTTCAATTATCAGGTCAGCTTGCAAGTGATGGTTTCTCCTCTTTTTCTTCTCCTTTATCCCAAATGGAAAGCTTTTACAGCATCATCTATGAAATATATCATTCTCACTATCATCCCGTGTTGTGCATAGTAATTAGATTTATGGTCTTTGAGATGTAACCTCCTAGAACTTGTATGCGTATTGTTCCCTTAATAGTAGTCAATTAATAGAGATGTAAATGATTTTGCCTTGTACTTCTAATATATTGTTGCAAGTGTCTTGTACCTTAGTCTGATGTTACAGCCAAATCAAGATCTTGAACAAGACGAGTCTCGAAGTTTACACCACCAAGTTGGCTCACCAATTAGGAATTCTCCCCCTGGTACGTCTTACAGAAATTTTAATTATTAGTAGCTTAGTGCTGGAGATTAATTTTCTTACATTTCTGGCAGGTGATTGGCCACTGTTTGGCAGCCCAATGGAACATAGCTCAATGAGTCCACCAGTAGGAAAGAGTTTTCCTGGATTGGCTGCAATTTCACAACTGCCGAATTCTGCGAAGTTGGCATCCGTTGGCAATGATTATTCGAGGGGTAGTCGTTTGGAACATTTATTGACAAATAGATATTCAAGCCAAAGAGGCGTATTTGAACAGTCCCATTCACTTCCTGAGCAAAAATCAGGTCTTTATTCTGGAAACATGCCCTCTTTTGTCTCTTCCAGTTCAAATAGACCACATGTTGAGACATTGTCTGGGCCACAATTTCTTTGGGGAAGTCCTAAGCCATGCACCGACCAGTCTAATTCCTCTGCTTGGAAAGTGCAACCTGTTAGACATCATTTTACGTCCAATGGCCACCAACGCCTTTCATACACTGATGAGCATAAAATTTTAAACTATTCATCTCAAAATTGCCCTAATAATCATAATGTTGGATCTGCTCCATCTGGCATCCCCTTTGAACAACACTCAGGGTTTTACCAGGAGTCACCGGAGGCATCATTTATAACTCGTAATGAATGGAATTTCAGGGTAAATATGGATGCTCGCGGTGCTATGAATGCTGGTTCCGTTTCTGGGAACAGATTGGAAGCTGGTTCTTCTGGTTTTGGCATGATGTCTTCTCCTAGACTCAGTCCCATGTTCCTGGATAATGGTAATTTTCCTGGATTGGCAGCCATAGACTTGGAGGTTCCAGCTGAACGTGGGAGGTCCGGCCTTGTCGTGAACAATGGGAACCAAATAGATAACTGGAATCAATTTCAACTTGATTTGGATAAGATTAGAAGTGGTGAAGATACTCGAACAACTCTGATGATAAAAAATATCCCGAACAAGTAAGAACCTTCAAATACTAGTTAGCTATGAATGTGTGTATTCCTTTTTTTTGGTTTCAAATTTAATATAAAGTACAACTCGGATAAGATTAGAAGTGGTGAAGATACTCGAACAACTCTAATGATAAAAAATGTCACGAACAAGTAAGAACCTTCCAATACTAGTTAGCTATGAATGCGAATTCCTTTTTTTGGTTTCAAATAGAATATTAAGTACAACTTTTGCTCATCATCTTTCTGTAGATATACTGCCAAGATGTTGCTAGCTACTATTGACGAGCATCATAAGAATACTTATGATTTTCTCTATCTGCCCATTGATTTTAAGGTAAAATTATTGCTGTACTTAATGGCAAACATACGATTCTTGCGATTTGTTGAGCTTGCTGAATCTTACATTTCCCTTAATGCGGATGTAGAACAAATGCAATGTCGGCTATGCATTCATCAACATGTTGTCTCCGTCACAAATTATCTCATTTTACGAGGTTTGCTTTATTACAGGAATAGTTATATTTTATCGGTATAATTTTGAATAATTGTTGTATAATATGTGTTAAATTATCAGTCATCATTATACACTTTTGCTTTTGCTAAAATTGCAGGCTTTTAACGGGAAGAAATGGGAGAAGTTCAACAGCGAGAAAGTTGCTTGTTTAGCATATGCTCGGATCCAGGGAACTGCAGCCCTCGTCGCTCACTTCCAAAATTCTAGTTTGATGAATGAAGATAAGCGTTGCAGGCCCATTCTCTTTCATTTGGAGAGCTCAGAATCTGGCAGTCAGGTAACTTCAACATATACGTGAAGAGGAGGACAAATATATACGACTATATTCATAAATTTTTATTCAACAAAATTTGTTTTGTCGTGATTTCTCTTCCTTTTTATGGGGTAGGTTTTTCGTAATTGGATTTGATTTTCTTGTTTCATTGCTATTAGCTAAAGTAGCACATTGTAACAAAAGTGTTGGCATTGCTGCAGCGGATGATCCAGGGACATATTTCTTCCAATAATTTGAACATGCAAGTCTGTCAATCGAAGGAAACGGACACCACAAATTTACCCGGAAGCATGAACAAGGGTTTCTTGGGCGGTGAGGTGGAGAAGCAATAGCAAAGATTCAGAAGCAGAATAGGACGGAATATTTATACAGAATAGGCCGATGCCCTTTGATAGCAGTACAGATTTTTGCACTATGGTTTGACGTTTTGATGGGAAGGCAGAAAAAAGTTTGATCTAAAAGGATATTTTGTTACCAGTGGATGAGAAGCATGCAGATGAAGATAGCTAGTACAAGGTGTAATGCATTTAGTAGATTTCTGATACTTTTGCAGACTGAAAGTTTTAATCTTGAATTTAGTTGGTAAGAGGAACTTGATAAATTAGTTTTGAAGTTTGAATCTTTTTATTGGTTAGCGACTGTTTACATTTGTATAGAAGAATTCTCAATATAAATGGACAAATGTGCAAGTTGGGATTCTCAAAACTATTATGCACCCATGCCATGTTAAGGAATGGAAATGGTTTGTTTTCAGTCTTTTATCCAGGATTTAGGCATAAGGGGCTCTTGCACATACAAGAGCATCTTCAAGTGACTCTTTAAACATGAGATGCCTTTTATTTTAAAGAGTCCAACATTTAAAATTATGTTCCAAGAAACTCATTAAATTAACATTTTAATTGTATTCAAAGTGTTTCAATTTTCAATATAGAAAAACAATAAAATAATTTAAAGAGAAGCTAGTTAAAATAAAAGATAAACAAAAATAATAAATATTTTTTTAGAGTGGTAAAATTAAGTGTTAAATATAAGAAGTTTGTTGGAGTACTTTAAAATTTTAACTCTCTAAATTTATAGACGATCTCCACATGATAGAATATACTCTTTAAAAATAGAGTCTATTGGAGA